ATGTGGAGGCACTACAAATCCATCAATCAATGACAGTCAAGGATTTTTCGAGTGGAAAATGTAAGCCGACGATCAACTAAGCGTCTTATGCGCGAAAATATGGAAATTCAAAACTTCAGAAATGAATTATAAATTGGACCTTTTCCAAATGAGTTCTGGGAATCTAACATCCCCAACAGTGCACCAGAAGGGACATGCTGGGTACGATTCCCTCAAGCAGGGGTCATTATTCTGCACTGTGGTTGAGTCCCATACTAGGTCGAAACGGCTGTCCAGTGCTTCCAGGTTTTTTGTATATTAGTCTAACAATGACTGATGCACAATTTCAATGAAATTCATGAAATAACTAGAAATGATACGATTGTCAATCAGGTTATCTAGGTTTAGAATTGGAGGTTGAAAGGCTAATAAATCAAATTGTAAAGAAGTTCCATAGAGAAAGGGAAAGAAAGGTTTTAAAACGTATCTAAATAGAAGACCAAGGTTGATTAATAGGCTGTACAAATTTTCTCTGTACACAGTGACTCGATTTAGTGAAGTTTATTTCTTTGGCTTACATGTAGAAGTGAGATCCTGCAACAGCATGACACATTCGGATGGATTTTAGTGATTAGTCTTGATAAACGGAGTGTATTCATATCGATCGATGCGACAGATATGAATGGTGAAGCTAAGTCATGAATAAATAAGAAATGAAAATGTAGGTCAGTGATACAATGATTTAAAATGTTCTTTTAATATTATTTTTCAATGTATTCATCGACTTTATTCACTTTTCAAATATCTTATTGACTAATATAACTTGTTTAACATTCTAGTCAGTGTTTAAAATATACTTAAATTGAGAATCTTTATTTCAATCAGTGTGCACTAAACTGACCTTGATAATTTTTTCAAAATTGAATTTATTCATAATTATTACCTCATTCATTACTTTGAAAGATAAACAATTTTTCACTGCAGACATTCTATGTTCAATGGTTTCAAGTGGATTGATTGTAAATTGAAAAAAATACTTTTTGTTTAAAAACAACCAATTTTTTACAATTTTTTGTTTTCCTCACTTACTTGTAAAGTAGCTAGTATAACACTTGAAATAAAATAACTAAATCCAAATGAGATAATTGCTATGATAGGAAATGCAATTAATGCTGGCGGTCTCTGAAAAAGAAAAGCCGCGGAAAAAAAACGAGTTTAAACAAATTCAAATTCAAATGAGTGAAGATTAAAACAAACTAACACAAAATAAAACAAAAAGTAAAAGTTTGATCATACCATTGATAAAATGAAAAGAGAATGGGAGTCGTTGAGTCATTGATGTATAATTATATAGATAGAAACTAACATTTCAGGATAGACATACATATATGTATATATATTAGTAATTCTGGAACCCGAGAAATGATGAATCGACCATTAGAAGAAATCTGAAAGCACTGGATAGCTATTTCGTCCTAGTTTGGGACTCATCAGCAGTGCACATCCATGACTCCCACTACTCGCAGCAGTCGAACCCATGGACTTCGGTCTTCGAGCATGATTCACCCATGGACCACTAAGCTGGAGTCCAAAGGTCTTGTACGACCTCATCCACTGTCTTAGCTGAGGAGTGCTCTACATCTGAACAGGATTAAACTACACTGGTCACGACTTGTCACTAGAATCGGAGAAACGTTCTCAAGCGTGCCGGCTCAGTAGTCTAAATGTTAAGCGTCAGCGAGCAAATTCGAAGATCCAGGGTTCCATTCCTGCGGGTAACTGAAGTTGTAGAGATGCACTGCTGATGAGTCCTACACAAGGATAAAACGGCCATCTCGTGCTTTCAGTTTTCCAACATTTGTCTGACATTAATCAGTTTCTTGATTTCAAAAATAACTCTACAACCTCCACAATCCTATAATTCAAATTAAAGAATTCCGCGAAATAACATTATTATTATTCAAAATAAATAAAAACCATTTTTTACAGCAAAAAGGTTAAAAATCTAAAACACAAAAGCTTTTTTTATATTCAATTCTTATAAATTTTTTTTTTAAAAAAATATACTGGTTACAAATCATTTTTTTGATTACAATTACCAGCTGTTTAATAAACAAAAATAAATAAATATCTTGTGATGAAATGTATTTTTTTATATTTGATTTTCCCGCGCCTATTTTATTTGATTGTGATGTTCAATTTTCAAGGTCATCTGTTTATACTGACATGATTAGTGATGATGTGATTCGTAATGATAATAATAATGATAATAATAATAATAATAATAAAAGAGGCAACTGAAAACGGATGAAGGAATATGAATGAATATGTGTTCGTTTTAAAGTTATCAACATAAGTTTTCTTTTCATTATGCATCATACACAATATTAAAACTGTCATCAACATTATTTAGTTCAGTAAAAAAAAACCTATGACCAATCTGTGAAATACTGACAATTCTGATGGTAAAAATAAAAAACAGTGAACAGGGAAAATTTTGTGGAAAAACAAATTTTTTTTTTGAATAAAAATAAATAAAAAATTTTGATGAATTTAAAAAATACACAACAGATTGTTTAGGAGAAATGCTTATATTTTTTTTTTAGAAAAAAAAACAATAGAAAATATGTGAGCTTCATGTTCCAACTGGTTGATTGTACAAAAATTGAACAGAATTGAGAAAGGAAGACTGAAGAGAGAGTAGGTTAAGGGAATACTTGTCGGCGGCTAATGATTTATTGAGGGTAACAGGTTTAAGTAAGTAACGTACTGTACTGTACTGTACTGTACTGTGCTTACACCTGCTTACCCTACGTGTTTTGATAGGTGGAAAATAAGAAAATCTGATTACATTCAGTAGTCGGTGAACGAATTGTAAAAAAGTTATTTGATGTTTTAAGAATGTCATGTAAACCCCTACTTGACAAACTGAAAACATTTTTTCAATTAGAGTTATGGAAATCAGTGTTTTTACACATCGAAATCGTCAATCAATCACCACAATTAGAAATCTGAAAGCAATGGAAGGCCATTTCATCCTAGTATGGAATTCATCAGTGGTGCGCAACTACTAACCCTGCTACTCACAGGATCCACACCCAGAACATTCGGTCTTGTGCATCCATGACAGTCTCCATAAATCCAGTTGGAATAATCGTACAATGTGCTCACTAGTTACTAGCTTCGTGAGGAAATTCTCGGAGTTCTATTGAGAAGACGCAACTCTGTCAGGTATAGGAGGTAACTACCGGAGACAATCGATGAAGTCACGCTAAATCCACAGATTGATCAGAGTAAGACATTAAGATTATTGGATGCACCGGCTCAGCGGTTCAGAGGTTGGGAGTTCGCGCGGATATACCGTAGGTCCCACGTTTGAGTCTTGAGAGCAGAAGAGGTGGTTGATGTGCACTGCTGGTTAGTCTTATACCAAGATGAAACGGCCGTCCTTCAGGTTTGTAATGGTGGTCTAACAATGATTGTTTGATGATTTGAATGAGTGGAAATTGATATCAGTTGAAACCTAACTAAAACAACTATGCATTACTAGTTACGATCATTTTCTTCACAGGTTAGAACATTTTAAGAGCATGCGCTGATCCATCCAGATTACGAAGTTTATTGAACGTTTTATGTTTTGCGATCAGTTCGATCGTAATAGACAGTGGAATATCAATGGTAAATAACTGTTGAATTTCAAACGACTCTATAATATTTAAGGATTGTTTTCAGGAATTTTTGTGGGAGAGAACAAACTAGATTCCAGTGGAGGAAGAAATTAGGAAGAATCGTTGGAAGTGAATAGGAAACACAATGCAGAAATCTTTCAGCTGCGTCGCAAGGCAAGCACTCATTTGGAATTCTGATGGTTAGAGGAGAAGAGGAAGATCAAACAACATATTACGCTGAGTATTGGAGTTGGTTTTTGTGCCAGTGATGACATAAGATTGGTGTTAGTGACATCGAAGGATAGACTTTCATAAGGAGGAAAGCAGGACATTTTTCTATGAGGGAAGTTGTTATGACTGTAAGGCAATTTATGTGCAAAAACCATTTAGATTTTTGAATGCGAGGTTAATGGAACTCTAACATTTTCACAAACCGTTGTTTGATCGGAAAAAAACACACCTGAGAATAGATTGACAAACGAGTTGCGTGCTTTAGAAACAGGACAACGTACGACCGGCTTTCATGTAATGGAAATACTTCAGTTACAGTTCAAAGCTTGACACAGAAACGTCACTTATATGGGGTAATCAGTACAGTTTAACAAAGAGAAGATGGTATTTAACTACCCACCCCTTGACCATTCTTCATTAGAAAAATGATTGGAGTTTATCTGCATTCATCCTGTTTACATCACGTGCAGCCTTTTTCCTCACAAGAATTAATTTGAATGTTTGACATCAGAAATATATACATTTGATGGTTCGTATTTAACATAAACATTGACGTTTTAAACAAAATTGTAGTGTTTATTTAAATATCGAGCCCACAAATCTTGCCAAAGCCTTCGAACAAATTAATTAACTCATTCTTCCGGAGTTATTCACATGTCTTGTCAATTATTTGCTTATGATCTTGGTTGTTCTTGCTTGAGCGCCTGTATGGATACATCTCGGCTATCAGTGCCTAGAGTTAGCACACTCACTTTCTCCACTTCACTTTGTTTTGCTTGTATGCTTTGTATTCTCATATCGGCCTGCATGAAAGATTGGATGAAATAAACTCATCCAACTGAATCTGTATTTAAGCTTCTTACTATCACTGCCCGTCACACACACACAAAAGCGGGTTTCACTTAAGCATGATATATGAAAATTAAACGGAAGATTTATTTCATAGCATCTTCAGTTATTCGACCAAAATTGGAGTCAAATGACGGGCTATTAAGAGACATTCTCAGTTCATATTTTTGATTTTGACATTTTAGAAGAAACAAACATTGATTGTCCCAAATATCAACTATGAATAACGTAAAGTTACACATTCCTTCTTATTCACACTTATCTTCCTACTATCAACTTGTACTTTTGCCTAATATGTGTGTAGTGACGTAATCTATTTCATTTAATTGTGATTATTGACTCTTACATTGCCTTGATTGGTTTAACATTTTCATGATAAATATTCATGTATATTAGAGTAAAGCCTGATGACGATCTAATCGAAAACAATCATAGTGTTCTCCCATATGTGTTGTTCCACATTTCACATAATTCACATCGCATTTGACTCATATCATCCTACTTCAGGATTCGATAAACACTTAGTGTAGATTTAATTTGATTGTTAAACGTTTTACTATATTATGTGATAATTGTGATTTGAATTGTCATAGTGAAAAAGTCAAAAACAAGTTTACTAGACAAAATGTTGAAATCATTCAAAACTTCAATCACTGAAACTATATAACAGATAGAGATCTTCACAAAAAAATCAAACTGTTTAAGACGAATTTATTTTTAAAGATTAAAGTTGAAGTTAAAATATTTCAGCCTGGATTAAATAGTAGGAGTCTAATTTGTTTTATTTTGAGATAACTATTATCGTAACTACGCCTGCGCCTTGTTCGGGGTTACAGCTAGTCCCTTGCTCGAATAACGGAGGAGGGATGAGCGTGGGGTGAGTGACCCTATCACGTAGAAATCCAACTCGCTAAAACAAACGATAACCAGGAAGAATAATTCTCTGGTTAGTGGCCTATGCACCCAACACAATATAACGTCGATATAAACTACTGATGAGTTAGCAAATACAAAGTTATCATCCAACTGCACACTCTCTTCAACGCTGATCAACAAGTCGATTGTTTTTAATGGTTATTTGCAAAAAAATGTCAATATATTTCATATTTAATAATGCGTCATTCATTACCAATCACTTCTTCCACATTGATTAACCTACTTTATTCGAAAATCCAAAACTTTACATTCTATCCCTTGTAATACATATATTCTAATTTGTTTTAACCAAAGCACCATATATATTATAGCTGATAAGATTAACTTTCTATTGCCTAAAGGTATACGTATATATTTTTTTTAAAAATCTTATTATTAGATATATAGATAGATAAGAAATCTAACTTATTTTGATAAATTTCGATGTAATTGGATGGTTACTAAAGACAGAGAGAGAGAATATACATTAACTGAACAATTATTGACGAAATACCAATCCTTTTTGTGATAAAACTCGTGTATATGTTAGATATTGAAATTGTGAATAGGTTTTAATTCTGTTTCAGCATACTACTACTATACAATGCTTGGACTTCGCAGATGATTTAGCCAATAATTACCACACGCAACAACAAATACAGCAAAAAACGACCAGTGTAGCAGCAGCAGCAGGTTTCAATATATATAATGGGAAAAGCAAGCGTCTCCGATGCAACACAACCTGCACCAACTAAATAACACTTTATGGAGATTGACTTGGAGGACGTGCAACCTGTTTACATATTTAGGCAGGATCATTGACGAGCAATGTGGATCTGATGCACATGTGAAGGCGAATATTGGGAAAGTAAGGGCTGCATTTCTACAGTTTAACAACATCTGGAACTCAAAACAAGTGTCAACAAACACTGACATCACAGTCATCAATACAAATGTCAAAAACGTTCTACTGTATGGAGCGCAAACTTGGAAAACTACCAAGCCATCATCATTCACAAGATATAAGTGTTCATTAACAGTTAACTACGCAAAATACTTCGGATCCGTTAGCCAGACATCATTAGCAACAACCTAGTGTGTGAAAGAACAAACCAGATTCCAGCAGAGGAGGAAATCAGAAAGAATAACTCGAAGTGGATAGGATGCACATTGCGGAAATCACCCGATAGCGTCACAAGACAAACCCAAACTTGGAATCCTCAACGCCAGGCGAAATGAGGAAGAACAAAGAACAAGTAACGCTGTGAATTGGAAGCAGACATGCGAAGAATGAACAGCAATCGGACAAAAACCGGAAAGGAAAACCTAGAACAGAGTGGGTTGGAGAATACTGGTTGTCGGCCTATGCTCCATTGAAGGTAACAGGCGTAAGTAAGTAAGTATCTTAATAGAATAAGAACTTCTAGAACAAGTCGATACAAATACAAAGATTACATAATTTTATCTCACTGTTGTGCTCAGTTAAAATGGATATCTGTTAGGATATTCATCCAACATTCTAAGAGAATTATTGGTCAATTCTTATTGCTTAACTCCTACTGGTCAATTTTATGGACGTCCTAGATATCAATGTCACGTGCTCCAAAGTTGTTTCTTATTGGTTGTCCTGACTATCAATGTCACTTCAAATGTTGCTTACTATTGGTCGTCTTAACTGTCAATCTCACAGACTTCGATGTTGTTCGACCAAAATGTATAAATACGCATTATGTGTAACGTTTTATGACCAAGACCAGGACCAGGACCCGGTCCCGGATCCCTAGTCCGGGATCCTGTTTCTCTTCTAGATTCGGACCTCGTACTTTCTGGATGCTTGTAGAATACAGGTTCTACTTCATATAACGTCTTATTTTTTACTAAATATGGGCGTTGGGATAATCGGATTTGAGTAGCATATCGTGTCGCCGGATCCTCGATCCTCGCTCTCATTTTCCGACTTGGGAAACTCGTAATAGTTCGGGTATATCAAGTTGACGTGTTTTCGTGCAGGCGTAACTATATCAAAGGAACTGTGATGGCGTTTAGAGCAAACTGTACTAGATTCCAGTGCCATAGTGATCATAAGCTCTGATATGCCGGTACATCCAGTTGAAGACGAGTCCCAGATAGGACGTACCACTCGTCTTCCATTCCGCTGCTACCTAAATGCTATCTATTCTTTGTGAACGTGTATCATAATGGCTATATAGTGAGGCGATTCGTACAGGATACTCATATGCCAACTAAGAGTGATTACGTTTCATTCATATTATCAGTCAGTCAGTCAGTTACGACGTAGAACTTCGTACATAGGTACATGAGTATATGAGTAATAGCACGCGAGACCAAATTGGTCATAAACAAATTCATATTGTCAACAACGGTATGATTGTGCAGTTGAATCCATCATAAGAATTCCGTATGATGTTAACTATTTTCTCAGGCACACCGAAGTGTCGAAGAATCCTTCACAGTATTTTCTTATCCACGCTATCGAATGCTTTCTCGTAGTCGATGAAGTTGATGTAGAGTGGTGAGTTCCATTCAATTGTTTGTTCCACAATGATCCGTAAGCATACATTTTATTATTATAACTGTTTTTAGTATTGCTACTACGAATAATACTATGAATAGTTTGTTTTCACTATAAGGTCGTGGAGATTGTTGAGTTTCTTCGAAATCATGAAACTTGAAAGCACTGGACGACCGTTTTGTCCCAGTATACGATTCATAAAAAGTGCGTATCTATGACCTCCACTTGGAGGAATCAAACCAAGAACGTATGATTTCACGCTCGCACGCCTAACTTCTAGATCACTAAGCTGGCATCCAACAGTGTTGACGCATAACTTCAATCAACCCACGGTATACTGAGACCTCACTCCAACAAGGTGAATAAGTCATAAACTAGGACGACACATCCATCCAGTGCTCTGAGGTGTTTCTAACGATCGATTCATGATTTCAATCGAATAATTTATTGATCAATCAAATAAGAATAATTCGTTTAACAAAACTAATGATAATCATCATCACGTACTTACCACAGAAAAATAAATTAAACCAAATAATGTAGCCAATGCTGAACTAGTTAACTTGGCTAAAGTTAATAAAAATTCTGACCAGCGTATTAATTCAATTATATTATTTAATGATTGAATATTCACTAAACTTGAATTTAATTGTTGCCATGATTGATAAAATGATTGTTTTTCAAGGACTAAGAGGAAGGAAAAAAAAAGGAAAAGGAAAATAGACAACAATTTTATAAATAGTGGAAAATTATTATTAAATAGTTTTTACACACATTTGAAATCATACATCAATGATTGTTAGACCACCATAAGAAATTCGGAAGCACTGGACGGCCGCTTCGTCCTGGTATGCGCATCCACGACTCCGCAGGATTCGAACCCGGGACCTTCGATATTGTGCGCGAACGCATAACCATCGGACCACTGGGCCGGCATCTATTGATGTTTAACTCCGATAAATTTAGGGATTTTGAGCGACATCACCAATTTGTCTTTGGTAGTTAGTTACTGCCTACACTCGACAGGGTTGAACTCCATCGGTGGTCACGTCTTCTCAACTAGAACTCCGAGAAGATTCCTCATGAAGCTAGTCACTAGTGTGAGCACTGTTACGATATTTTAGGGCAGAGTTTTTGGAGGTTTTTGTTTTTACACATATGAAATAATCAAATAAATATTTCATAATCCATTATGATCTGAAAGATTCGAACCTAAAGTGATTATAGTTTATTATTATGTAACAATTCCATAAATTCGACGTATATTTTGATCAATATTGATGCATTTTCATGAAAATAACTTTTTGAGTTGTTTTCCAAAAATGTTCATGATTGTTGATTTACAAGAAATTAAATAATCATCACATCTGATTTTGGATTTATTTATTGATTAAATATGATTTATGAATGTTTTTATGCAAATTTGGAGATTTGTGTTTTTACACATTTGAAATCATCGATCAATGATTGTTAGACCACCATTAGAAATTTGGAAGCACTGAAAGACGACGGCTGTTTCGTCCTGGTATGGGACTCTAGTTTCTAATGCTGGTCTAACAATCATTGATTGATGATTTCAAATGTATAAAAACACAAACCTCCAAAAACTCTGCCCCAAAGTAAATAGTTCGTATTGTAAAAAACTAGTACTGAAAAAAAATATACAAGTTTGTATATTGAAAAAGGATTTTTTAAATTCTATTTTGTTAGATGACTATCATTATGTTAGGTTCGTTAATTGGTACGCTTGAAGCTATTACGAGTTCACCTTAGTCGATAAACGCGAACGAGACAATGGAACCAGCGTCCTGGTAGGCTACCTTGAATCCAAACGGTAAAACAGAATTCTTGAAAAGCGTAGAAAGTATATTCTACAAACATCCAGCAATCACAATACAAATCAAGCAAACAGCTCTCGTTTATTTATACATCATAGAAACGTCCTTGGGACAGTTAGGAAAATAGCACACTAAAATACACAGCAGCCAATCAGAGACAAGGATTTTCCTGGTGAGAAATGAAATCTTAGCTTATGCTGGTAAACGTGAAAACGAAAATAAAGCATTTATCAAGCGAGTTCTCAGGATCTCACATCCCCAGGAACCTGGATGCATTGGACGGTCGTTTCGTCCTGTTGTGGCTGCTGGGTTCGAATTCTGCGCGGTACAGAAGTAGTGGATGCGCACTGCTAATGAATCCTATATCACAATGAAACGGCCATCCAGTGCTTCCAGTGCTTTCTAATGTTGGTTTAACATTGATCAATTCATGATTTGAAAAATTGGTTTTAATTAAGAAGTAAAAAAAATCAATTTACAAACAATGACAAGTTTAAGGTGAATAGCAACCAATCAAGATTGAGGTTAGCAGAACAAGCTACAGGTCAGACGTGGAGAAATTCGAATACTTCACTTCTTCTATCTGAAGTTTGTGCTGATGATGTTGTTCAGAAGTAGAACAGTGAAAGCTTCACAATCAAAACAGCATCCAGCTCAGAGAATGCAACTCTACTACTGTGGTGTGAGCTACTTATAAGTAGTATATGACGTGAGTGTCAACGTAATGTCTGGTGGCAGCAGAAGATGGGGGAAGATCAAGAGAAAGGAAGAGTTAGAAAACAATGGAATTTGTATGAAACGCATGAATAGTAGTGACAATGGATTGATGTTTTGCAACAGGAACAGTCCAGTTCGATATGATGAACTGATATTTTGCAAATTAACGATTTACGATATGGTTTTCCGATTTTACTGAGTAACTCTGTAATTTTCGTTCAATACAATTCGGTTGCCCCGCCTGTGTTCTCGTTCACTACACTACAATAATCCACTTGAGCTACGAATTTTCTGCACCACTTAAAAATCCTTTAAAATATTGCACTTAAATGATAAACCCAAATTTGTTTTAATCAGTGAATACAGTTTTATTATAATTAGATATTTTTATTAGAAATTATTTTCTTGATGCCTTTTTTTTGGAATTTAGATAAGTCAGCTTTCTCTTTTTTTCGGTAACGTGATACACATTTATATGTACGTACCACTTTGATTAATTATCTTACAATCTCGTGACATGTATTGTATTAAAACTACATATTCAGGTAATTAATTAGACAATTTTAAATGTCTAATCTTTTTTACATCAATATTTTATTGATATGCCGAAATTAGAAATCGATGATAGATGATAGGATTTCTGGCATTGACTTAGGCCCAGTGGTCCGACGGCTAGGCGTTCGCGCACAATACCGAAGGTCCCGGGTTCGAATCCTGCGAGGTGTAGGAGTCTTGGATGCGCTCTGCTGATGAGTCCCATATCAAGCCGAAACGGCCGTCCAGTGCTTCCAGGTTTATAATGGTGTTCTAACAATCATTGATTGATGATTTCAAACGTGTAAAAACACAAAACGTCCAAAACTCTGCCCTTAAAACTAGTAGATCGAATCGTTTAGATGTGAATAATTTATAGGAAGCTGCTGCTTTTTTTCGATAGGTGAAATTCCATGACAAACAACCTCATTTAGGATGGAATACTTCACTACTATCTCCGGAGTTTGTGCTGATGTTGTACAACGAAAGCTCCACAATCGAAACAGCATCCAGCTTAGAGAACGAAACACCACAACACTCATTTAGGGTGACATTGACAATAAGCCATGAAACACTGGACTACTTAGTGTATTTGATTAGAGGTTAGAAATCCATTTCAGTGTAGTTATTAGACGAAGAAAGAAGGTAGAAGAGTTTTACAGGATTTCACTGTTTCTAGACTAAGACATTTCATCGGATAAATATCGTTGTTGTACCACAAAATGACCAGAGTCTCTAAAACTCCGCAATAATACTAACCATTCACTACTGTGAGATGTGAGAATTTTCTCTGATGAAACAATGGACTAGTATTTATTTCTTGGTTAGTAATTTTGTCAGGCTGCATCAGATTTCCTATAAATCTGACCTGTATTACAACTACCCTGGCATAATCCAGGCAAAAATAACTGTAGACATTTTGTAAACAACAAGTAAATGACGTCAAAATTAATTATACAGCCACTGTTGACATTGTCGAACGACCGAATTTTAGTCACTTAATGTACACAAATGATTTTTCATCTGTTTTTTATTTCAAAATCTAAATAAATTTACTTTTTTTACTTTAAAAATATATTTTTATGTAAAAATAAACCTCGACACATTCATCCATCAATTAAAAACATAATTATCTATTATTTAGTATTATCATAGGAAGTAAATTTCCGAAAAAAATTCATTTATCAATATGAATGAATAGAGTAGTTTTTAAACAGACGCGCCAACACAATGTTGTTTTCAGTTAATCTGTACATAAACAGTGAGTTATACATTGCAGCGATTGAGTTTATCACATAGATCAACTCGATAAGTATGCCAACTTAATCTATATTCTTCTGAATGTCATAATGAATTAGGACAAAATGTGTCTAAATAAGTGATTTAAATGATTTGAAACTAAAAAAAGTTTTTTTTTCACTCAAAACAGAATAAAATCTTGGTCAAATCAAGGAATGAAATGATTGAAGTGTGTTCAAATGGGGTTCGTCATTTAGTATGCTTGAGGCTATTACGAGTTCAACTTAGTCGATAAACGAGAACGAGACAATGAACCAGCGTCCAGGTAGGCTACCTTGAATCTCAAGCTGTAAAACAGAAGTTTTGGTAAGCGTAGAAAGTATATTCTACAAAGACCCAGCAATCACAATACAATCAAGCATACAAATCTCGTTTATTTATACATCATAGAAACGTCCTTGAGACAGTTAAGAAAATAGCACACTGAAATACACAGTAGCCAATCACAGCCATGGATTTTCCTGGTGGGAATTGAAATCTCAAGGTCAACTGATCAGTCCATGCTGGCAAACGTGAAATCCTAAATAAGGCAATTATCAAGCGAATTTTGGGGATCTAACATCCCCAACAGTTCATTCCATTCACAATTATTATATCCAGGTAATTTCATTATTCTGTTTAGTTGGAGGCAGACTGATGACTGAAGAGATCTAAGTTTTGTAGGGTCATTTAGTTGGTGACCAAAATAAGTATTCTGTATATTTTATTGCCAGAATTCATTTGTTATTTTCAAGTTCTATTTTATTTGTTTTGTTACTAGTAATTTCAACTTTATTCATAGTAAGATTTCTAATTACTAATTGATGTAGACTGGTTAACATGAAAATGTACTATCTAAATTTGATGTAATTCCAATATCCTACATTCTTATAAAGTAAAGTTTTCTTTCTGAATTAATCTGATGTTCAGTTATATAAAAGATGAAGAGCATTTCCTAAGAAATTGCAATAAACGGAGCTTAACTTCAACACTGTGAACCTAACGGTTAATAAATGCATAAAATTTATTTTAACTACTGTTAATCAATAAGTAGTATAACCATTTAATAATAATTGTTTGAAAGGCTACGTTGTCAGTACACATCAAGGCGTTTCAACTCATACCAATCGTTACAATCTGATGACTATCATCGTTACGTGAATTTCGGAAAGGATATGGCTGGGTTGATGAATATAAGGGCATAAAATCCCATTCGGTTCATGACTGTAAAACTTAGATTAATTTCAAAGCAGAAAATCTTTTAATTTTACGGTCACTTCATAAGACTTTTCATAATATCAATAAATGTCGAACCACGTTTAGAGTATAATTTGCATTTGCAAGTTCACGGGAATTTCCATCATAAATACTGAGGTATGAAAGACTGGTTTCTTCTAACTGAACTTCCTAACATTTAAAAGTTGTGAGTAGTTGACTTCACAATTGTTTATTAAAATATGAATCTTGTAACCTTTCTTTAGTGATACTCATTAAATACCATTTCTTCGCCCCTCTCAAGTTTTCACGTTTTCATTGAGGTTCCATAATGCGCTTTCAGTAAGGAGAATCTCAAATGATTCATGTTTACATAATCATTCAACCGGGAGAATTTTTTTTAAGTATTTGCAGACCATCGGCGTTTGGTTACTGAATTCTCACAACACCAATAATATGACTGTAGTGCTAATTCCAGTATTATCAGTTAAATAAACCTCAAAAGAGTATGAAAAACAGTTGGCGATGACATTTTGTTGCATTTTGTTTCATGTAACTCTAATTCTTCCTATCAGGTTCTACTGTGGTGATTGGTTTAAATGACCTGAAGTTGAGGTACACCGTTGCTAATATCACGTAGTTCTTAGCAGTCAGTCACTATAAGAGTTCTGTATGAGGTTAGCACCCTAGTAGTAACACTAGTGATAGTAGCACATGATGACAGGGGTTTTAAATGTCACAAGCTGTATTATTGTTGGACATGGAAAGAATGAACAGCAATCGGTTAAAGCCGGAAAGGAAGTGCCAGGATAGAGTAGGCTGGAGATGGTTGATAGGCGGCCTATGCTCCGTGAGGAATAACAGACGTAAGTAAGTAAGTATGTAATATTAAAACCAACAGTATATTGTGAAATGACTGAACAATGTTTTCCCGTTTTCTACTCCATGGAGCAGATTAGGAGAATGATGGATTTCTTATATTAACCTTAAACTTACGAGCAATAACGTGAATTGTTTCAGTTCCTTTATTCACAGAATAAATTTACCATATTTTAATATTTGATAGGTATTCACGCTTTAAGTGCTTCGTATTTGTTACATGCATTCAAAGTCCGATAATGAAATAATGAACTTTGATCGTTCTCTCACTAATTTTTGCTAATCTCCTGTCTCTAATGTCAACATTTGTTTATTGAATACAATTATTCGTTATATTCAGTCATTTTTGAGTAGCTGATAACCAAACGGATGATTTTCCTGAAACAACTGCCTGTCGATCAATAGCAGAGTCAGAATTTTCAATACAAACAACAAGACGGTTTAACTTTAGGGAGCGGAGAATCACGGAAGTTAACAATCACAAGAAACAGGTATTTATCGACAGTCATCTACGCAACACACTTCAAATCGACTAGTCAGACATCGTCAGTAACCACTCATTGTAGGATAGAACGAACCAGATTGCAGCAAAGGTGGAAATCAGGAAAAAGCCATGGAGTCGACTAGGACATGCATTTCATCACAAGACAAGCTCTCACTTAGAATCCACAAGACTAAAGGAAAAGAGGAAGACCAGAGTACAAATAACGCCGTCAATCGGAGACAAACATGTGTAGAATGAGCAACAATTGGACAAAACTAGAAAGGAAGTCCGAGGATACAGTAGATTGGAGAATGCTGGTCGGCAGCCGATGATCCACTGGAGGTAAGAGGCATAATTAAATAAGTAAGTAAGTCTGCTAAGTTTACTAAAGGATGAGTGTACTGTGCAGCAGTTCTCTCCGTCTTACTTTATGGCTATGAAACATGGCCAATCAGAGTAGAAGTTATTCGTAGGTTACTGGTTTTCGATCATAGGTGCCTTCGAAGCATTGCTCGTATATCGTGGGACAACCGAGTAAGCAATGCTGTCGTTAGGAAACGGGTGCTAGGTAAGAATGGCAGATCAATAGATGAAGTGCTGAAACGTGATCAGTTGAGGTGGTTGGGACATGTGTTGCATATGCCTAACCACCGACTGCCTCGACGAGCTATGTTTTGTCGTGTAGGAATAGGTTGGGAAAAAGTTAGGGGCGGCCAAATCAAAACATGTCAGGAATCCATGAAGTCATTGACAAGTGGACTGAGTCATGTCGGTTGTTGTCGACTACCTGGTTGGGGTCCGCGAGATGATAATAATCGATGGTTAGAGACGCTGAATGACATGGCTCAAAATCGTTCGCAATGGCTTCGGTCCATTTATTCTTTGTGCTCTCTCAAATCCTAATCTTCTGTATTCTTCAACCCCTCTATTTTTGACTTTCTAAACTTTTCTCACTGAATCATACTTCTTGAATAATATCTTCTAATCCTAACCTCTCCGACTACTACTTCTAATACCTTTACTACCTCTACTACTATTGGATTTGAATTGGCTATTATATCTCTGTGCTGATGTGGTATGGCAACATGTACGAAGTTCTACGTTGTATCTGACTGACTGACTGACTGATTGATCAAGTTGAATGTTCATGTTGAAAAAAAATCAATAAATATGTTTGAAAAAAAAGATAAATAACATTTTAAACTTACTAATCAATGTAAATATATTACAATCTAAATGATGTATTTGCCATTCGAAATTTTGTAATTTCTGTGCACATTTCATGGTAGTTTTGTTAGTTGATAAAAAATTTGTTTTTTGATATTTTATAGCCAAATTAATCATTCTGTATAAACATAATAATTGCAATAATGGCCATGTAATATAATTCATTAATGAAGCGAAACTTAAACTTCCAATCAATTGATACAGTATTCTATACAAAATTTGATTTAATACATGAATTGTAAATAATTTATGCGTCGATTCACTTGAACGATACCTTTGAAAATTAATTAAAAACCAAAAAATTGAAAATTGAAATTGTTTAAATATTTAGAATTTACTAATCGTAAAAATTTATTAAAAGAACGATTACATGAGATATTATTGGCAGAAATGGATAAAGGTTAGCAGTGAAATCCAGAACGAGCGTTTCGTCCTTGTTCAGGTGTGTTTACGGCTGGATATACCTACATGTCACAAACTGGATGAATCATGTGTCATGGATTCCATTACTGCCTCCGTTCGATGTAATTGTAACCTAGATGCGATTTTGAAGAAATCAGTACAGGATGTCCATATGCTAAATAAGACTTATCCCTATGGCGATTCTAAACATCAATAGACAGATTCATTCTGTAGTGTGTCGATTTACAGCGTGTTCTTAAGGTCGGTAATTAGTTCGTCTAGACAATCGTTACTAACTAGCGTCTGATGGTTTATAAATCAGAAGGTGAACACAAAGTGTTGAATACGTTTATTCGGGACACACCACAAAGTGAAGCGGAGAAGCAGTGAATATGACGAACGAAGAGACGTGAAATGGATGAGGCTAGTGAGCCAACTCCTAGAGATAGAGCATGACTATAGTCAGACAAAAATAAGACAGACAAGTAACAAGCGAAATAGACGTGTGCACATGAATAAAAGTGACGAGTGATTGACAAGGTCAAAAGCAAGCGAGACAAGTCATGTGAGTTCATGGGGATATTAAGAGAGATTAACATTAAAGCGAATTGGATGAGTAAGCGCGTGAGCGTAAGCAATGCTCAGTCGTACAATCTCATACAAACCAGACAATAAAAAATACCAATGGTACATATAAGTTATTGTTATACAAACAGCTTGGTTATATAAGTTATTCGAAAGGCATAATCAAATTAAATATGAACAAACTCAAGTTTATGTGGACGCACTACAAGCCAACCAATACAAATGAATGATTTACATAAGATAATCCTTTTTTTAAATATTATTTTTTTCACAGCTATCATTATATATTGCTGATAAACTAGTAAAAATCACCATTAAGATCAATGATCAAATATGAGTTCATAATAGATTCTGCATAAGTGCCTGTCCAACATTTTATCTGTAGAAAATCTGACTACTTATAAGTAGTCAAGAAATTTGACAGTATTTTTCAAATATTGTGGAGTTTGCGCACAGTAAAATAATTTATTTAACTGAACTTATTAGATCCTATACCATAACTTAGACAACCTTTGGAAACAAAAGATCACCATTTTGTCCTAGTATGAGATTGTTCATTATTTAAGAACCACATATAATTCAGGAATTGAGCTAAGAACCTTTAGATAGCATACATAAAACCTTCAAAGTATTGAATTATTTTATGGACAATAATTTGTATTTCTGAGGTTGATTAACTTGTAGTAATGCATAATGTGAAGTATTTCAGCAGAGATTGTATATGTCTTCTTACTTCCTATTATTTTTTGGATGGTACTTGACTTTTTAGAATAATGACCTTGTCAAATGACTGTTGCAGAGTCCTATACTTGGACGAAATGTTCGGCCAAAGCATCCAAGTTTCTAATGGTAGTCTAACTCTGGTCGATTCATGATTTTATTGAAAAATAACAATCTCCATAACACTATGATGAATATCGTCGAAAGACTAATAAGGATGAAATTTCTACATTTTAAGCAGATTGTTACTGTTATAACAATAGAGTTTTCTAATAATCTCTGCGTATATTTGCAAGATCCAATGTTTTGATAAGTGAATAACTATAATAATTTTTAGGTGAATATAATCCCTGTTTAAACAAAAATTGGCGTCATTATTAAAAACAAAAGAAATAATTACTTTAAAAGATGTAAGTGAGTAGTTGCATTAGTTTCATAATATCACATTAAATTTGTAGTTGAAGAATGATTCTTTCAAAAAATCTTCAAGTTTTCATTCAAAACAATTAGGAAATTATACAGTTTATGCAAAGTGATTATGTAAAGTAATGCTGACAGAATTATGGAGATCATTGGTTTACTTTGGAATCACGACTTATTTATCATCATTAAACCACCACTATAAATCTGGACGCTCTGAATGGCCGTTTCGTCCCGGTATGGGATTTATCAGCGGTGCACATCCACGATTTCTGCTACTCACAGAATACCGACCCCGTAACTTTGGTCTTGAGCGCAACCACGGTGTGAATGCTCAACTTTGATCAATCTAAGGATTTTGCGTAATTTCACCCGATTGTACTAGGTAGTTGGTACCTATACCTGACATTAACATCACTGGATGCGCTCTCATAGGTCCGAAGGTTCAGCATTCGCTCGCAAGACTGAAGGTCCTGGTTCCGAGGACTGCGAGTAGCAGGAGTCATGTATGCACATCACTAATGCTTCCCATACCAGGACCAAAAGGCCATCGACTGCTTCCATTTTTCTAATGGTGGTCTAACGGTGATTAAACCACGATTTTAATATAAATAATTTAGAGATGTTTCTCAAATATAAACTTTATAATATATCTGATTGAAATGCAAACAGTTAGTCAATGATAGAATCTATTTATTTATCGGTAAAAGTTAGTCATTCTCATTTTCTCTCACATTGTCGGTAAGTCAAGGTCACTCACTGCTTAAACTACAATTTGGACACACCCAACTTGATGACCAGAAAATTGGTCATAATTCTTTAACTTGCTACTGTAAGTTTACAATATAAATAGCTATTTAAAGAAGTGAGCGGGTTATCATTCAGTTCTCATGTTTGAACTTTATTCTGAGAACTACCAATGAATGTATGAATCAGGTGTATTAGTCAGTTCAATTAATTGTTAGGAACTGCCTTTTTTACCATATTTCATCATACATAAACATTCTCGATCTTTTTTATGACCAAAAATGTAGAGTTAAGCTTGATAATATTGGGTTTTCCAGAAAACATAGTTTTATATAAACTTTTTTCGTAAAATCTGCTCATTAGTGACTAGTTTGGTGAGTAAATTCTCGGAGTTCTAATGAGAAGACGTGACCAGTGGAATTCGACCCTGTCGGGTGTAGGTAGTAACGACTAAAAACGAATGGGTGAGGTCGCGCAAAATCTGTAGACTGATCAGAGTTAGACATTAAAACCCCCTTAGATGCTGACCCAGTTGTCCAGAGGTTAGGCGTTCGCGCACAAGACCGAATGTCCGGGGTTCGAATCCTGCAAGGTGTAGTAGTCGCGGATGCGCACTGCTTATGAGTCCCATATCAGGACTAAATGGTCATTTAGTGCTTCCAAGTTTCTTCTAATGGTGGTCTGACGATAACTGATTGATGATTTCAATGTGCGATCCCTATAACTTTAATTTAAAAACTTATTTCTGTCTGTAAACAACACCGACAATTTTCCATAAATAACCAACATTATAACTGAATGTTGAACAATTTAAAATCATTCCAACACATAAGTAAGGCGCTCAACAAACGATTGAACATTGATTACAACTAAACAAAACGAAACATTGAAACGTTGAATAGACAATTAATCATTAGTATTGTTTAAATAAAGTTTAATTGTACGATGAAAGTGAAATGTTTTGAAAAACGTAGCCATTTCTTTTAAATTTAACTTTCTTCAATGTATCAATTGTTTACATTATATTGAAACCAATAATGGTTTAATACATAAACAACTTTTAGTAGAAACAAACACAAAAATAATTGTTTGAAATAATCTACTAATCTTTTTTTTAATTAAATGTATTTACTAAAGAATATAAAATGATTCACAACTACCATAGACGACTATAAACAAACGTGTAGCGATACTGTTTTTCCAAAATTACCTCTTGTCTACTCCTAAATTTGAATTGAAAACATTGAACAATGGAAATAATTTAACAGTTTATAATAAAATTTCTATATTTCATGACCACAAATTAAACAAAAACAGCTGCATTGTAAAAATTTGATTATGAGGAAAAAAATTGTGTATAAATATTTTCTCATTTCATTGTATACTACTAACTAACTAATAGACAATGAATTATGAATCACGTAATCAAACACAATAAATACTACTGTTAATGAACAATTGAATAGTAAATATTTTATTAATTGCAGTCAAATGTAAACGTTATTTGATTAAAATCCAAATAGTGGTCTAATAATGATTCATTTATGATTTTAATGTGTAAAACCAACGGTCTCCTTAATACTATCATGATTAGCTCCGTGAGGAAATTCTTCAAGTTCTAGTGAGAAGAAGCCGTAAACAATAGATTTCATCCCAATCGGGTGTAGGCAGTAACTACCGAAGACAATGGGTGAGGCTGCGCAAAATCTTAAGGTTGATTAAAGTTAGATATTAACAAAAAGATCCAGAGGTTAAGTTTTCGCACGCCAGACCGAAAGTATTTGGGTTCAAATCCTGCCAGTAGCAGGATTCGTAGATGCGTACTGCTGATGTGGTGTGAGCTACTTATAAGTAGTATATGACGTGAGTGTCAACGTAATGTCTGGTAGCAGAAGATGGGGGAACATCAAGAAAGGAAGAGTGGGAACACAATGGGATTTGTATGAAACGCATGAATAGTGAGTGACAATGGATTGATGTTTTGCAACAAGAACAGTCCAGTTTGATATGATGGACTGTTCTTGTTGCAAAACATCAATCCATTGTCACTCACTATTCATGCGTTTCATACAAATTCCATTGTGATCTAAATCTTCTTCCTTTCTTGATCTTCCCCCATCTTCTGCTGTCAGGCATTACGTTGACACTCACGTCATATACTACTTATAAGTAGCTCACACCACACCGATGAGTTCTATACCAGGACGAAATGTCATTGCAGTACTTTCAGGTTTCTAATGGTGGTCTAACAACCACTCATTCATTTACAGTCATGAAATGAACAATAAATTAAGAGAACGGATACTTTTGAAACTCTTGAATTCATGCTAAATGGAGTTGAAGATAGGAAAAAATCATTATATTATTCAAGTAAATTAGTGGATAGCGCAGGTCTTTGGC